AGTGACTTGCACTTCTTGTCATTTCTTTTCAGGACAAGGGATCGTGCAGCCTCGGTTTCCTTTGGTAGCTCTGCTATTAGTGTACCAAGCTCATTACCGACTAGATCAAAGAGCTCGTGTTCCTCAAGCAGAATCTGCATACGAAACTTCCAGTTACTATGTTGCTTCCATCGAAGAGTGGTACCTTGTATTTCTCGTCCTCCGCCATTTTAGCACACGCGTTATTCCTCGAATTTTCGATTTGCAAAGTTTATTCCGCGGCTAAATTCCTCCTTTACAGATGCAATCCTGGGCCCATAACCTGTTAGAGTCGTGGTAGTTGGATCAGGAGTGGACGAAGTGGTATGACACAAGTTTTATAGAACTGTAACCTTTAATGTAAAATGTAAAATGTCCGTAGGATACTCTCTCAACAAGAACAGAAACTAAACTGAAACGTAGAAGGGGAACACACATATATGAGAGAGGAAACTTAGACCTTACAACCATGAAACCATACAAAATATATAGAGGGGTTATACATTGTTCAACTCAACATAGAGTCACGCGATATTTGTTAATAATATTTCGTGCGTTTCACGGTATCTCATATCGCGTACGGAAGTGCCCGAAATTTCGCGCGATCGATGATTTTCGCGAGTGAGTGTTGTATGAGTGCAACAAGGAAATCTGAGAGGAGGAGGCCAAGGAGGCATCAGGCAACGGCGGAGAAATCGTGAGGTAAGTGTCTTACATTTTTATGTTATTTGCTACTTGTGCAAAATAAAGCATCTGTTCTGTGTTTTTATTTTATTTATTCAAACGATTCGAACGAGGATTCGAATAAAGCTGCCATTTCACGGAGCGAAGCTAAAGCTGGCGTTTACCCCCACTCTACCAAAGTAACGATACAGCGAAGGTGAGCGAAGGTAACGCTCAAAGTTGGATTTATTGAACTTTTAGCGAAGCTGTGAATTCCTAATCTAACCAGTGAGTAAAGACGTTGTAAGTATTAAAATAAAATAATATAGCCAGTACACAAAACAAATATCATGTATTTTTTACATTTTTAATGTTTCAGAATACATTATGGCTGGAAGAAGCGAGAAATACGCATCACCAAAAAATATAGACAAAGTTAGTATTATAATAATTAAGTATACTTGTAGGTTAAGTTGTTCTTTATTTCCGATAATTATAATATGTATTTTAAATTAATATATTAATTGATAATATACATGTTGTAGGAAATGCTGCACACATGTAGTGTGTGTAAATCAAAAGTAGTGGAGGAGAAAATATGCAATCATCCTTGTCTGAGAGGATATGAATTTTTTTATGTGGATGAAAATTTAATCTTTCATCCTCAAAATCAGAACCAAAGGACATAAACAATTCCAAATTACTTCGCACGTTTCGTGGATAATGTTACACGATGTTGTCAATCCCACAAGATATTGATATGACATCGACGTCATGGAATCCCCAGAAGCAAGATATCTACAATTACATATGTACAATTTTATGTTATATAATACACGTATTATATATTCATTTAAAGATTTTGTCATATAATATTATTATTAATACATATGTACATACAAAAGTAAACATACCTCAATGTTAATGCCAATCTTTCAGAAGGTGAGATAGATTGTCGAAGAAAGTCCTGCTCCTGTATTTGTGGTCCAATTAGACATAATAATTCCTCCAACTGAGTTGCAGTCATTCGGAAATAATTATAGAATCGTATGTCCTCTAACAATAATTTTGGCACTGACGCAAAGAAGAAACTGTTTCGGTCACGGTTTTTAAAAATTGTGCTACCCAATGCTACCCCATTTTTCCTTATATTTTCTTTTCTTCTGCAAATGCATCACAACAGCTGCAGCCGCGGCTGTACGTCGTTTTTGTATTTCTGCAATTGCAATTGCTAATCCACATTCTTCATCCATTTTATTATTTGTACTCCACTATAAACAAAACTAGAAAGCCAGCGAAAGCCAGGAATTCAACTTCACTGAAACACAACCTCAAATTAAGCAGCGAAGAATACGCTCCATGAAAAGGCAGGAGGCCTTTAGCGTTAGCTAAAGCAAAGCTGACTTGTGTTGCGATGGAGTGGGGG